GTCTGTTGCTATCTCTGAAGCCCAGAGATAATAGCCAGAGGCGTTTCAGCTGTGTCAAAAGTATTTTTATAGTCTGGAAACTATTACTGATAACAGTACCTGATCCATAATTTTGCAGATGCACTAGTTAAGACAATTTAAACTAGAAAAATCTTTCAAAAAAAAAAATCTAGCTGTATGATACTATGCCTCATCACTCCAGTAATTATAATGCTGTGTGTCTAAGGTGCCTTCCAGGTTCATTAACTTTGGGATGTAGGCCTGTCTGCTCCTGTACAAACTGTAAACTGTCACTTTTCCCTCCATTTCCCTCACAGACATACAGCCAAGGGATTGAATTAGCCTGCCAAGAAGAAAGAGAGTTCGTGAAGCACTCTGTGGAATACACATGGAACCTAGCAGAAGCCCAGCAAAAACTTGGTAGTTTAGCACTGCATAATTCAGAATCCTATGATCAGGAATCTGCTCAAGCAAAGACTGAAGCTGCAGAGTTGAGAAGGAGAGAGGAAGAATGGAGAAAAAAAGAGGAAGCACTACATCTGAGGGAAAAACAGAATCTATGGAACACAGATCCTGTTAGTAAGGAGGTGTTTAATAAGGTATGATACATATCAGTGTGCATGAAAACAAGCATTAGCCCCTCTTCTTCATTCTACTTGATATTAGTCTTGAGTGTCTCCTGTGTCCAGTAGAGCACAAAACCACAGTATGTGTTAAATGCAGGTTTTTTTCCTTACTTTGCCTCATGAAAGGGAGCAATCTGCCATCATACTACAAATCTGTATTACATTACTCTGCTAAAAGTGAAGATCAGAACTTGTTTGGGTCATCTAGGTATTAGATACAAGCTGGCAATGTGCACTTGCAGCCCAGAAAGCCAGTTGTATCCTGGTCTGCATAAAAAGTAGCATGGCCAGCAGGTTGAGTGAGGCAATTCTCACTCTCTATTCCACTCTGGTGAGAACCCACCTAGGGTACTGTGTTCAGCTCTGCAGTCCCCAGTACAACAAAGATGTGGGCCTGTTAAAGCAGGTTCAGAAGAGGGTCATGAAAATGGTTGGTGGGGTGGAACACCTCTCCTGTGAGGAAAGGCTGTGAGTGTTAGGATTGTTTGGCCTGGAGAAGAAAAGGTGTTGGGGAGACTTTTGGTTTCAAAATGAAAGAAGGTAGATTTAGATTGGATATAAGGCAGAAATTCTTTCTTGTGAGGATTGTGAGGCACTGGAAAAGGTTGTCCAGAGAAGCTGTGGCTGCTCCCTCCCTGGCAGTGTTCAAGGCCAGGTTGGACAGGGCTTTGAGCAAACTGATCAAGAGAAGGTGTCCCTGCCCATGTCAGGAAGGGGTGGAACTACATCATTTTTAAATGTCCTTTCCAACCCAAACTACACTATGATTCTGTATAGTGCAGGTGTTGCCACATGTGCTCAACAGTAGTTTTTTCACATGAAGAATGTGCTTCTCTACTGTGCCAAATTCTTAAAATGTGAAACTGTTAGTTTGCCTCTAATAATGACTACTGTAGCACAGATTATTTAGCACAAACTTTTTTATAGAAGAATCTCAGCTTTGATTTCACAATTAAATTTGAACAAGTGCATCTCCTAACTTCATTGATTTAGCTGCATCGAGGCTGCAATGTACATGATTCTCACTGCTGACAGATCATTAAGTTCCTACATGATTGTTGCAGTTTAAACCCAGCTGGCAGCCAAACACCATGCAGCCACTCACTCGCCCTCCCCTGCCTGCAGGATGGGGGAGATTAATGGAAGAATGAAGGGGGACTCATGGATTGAAATAAAAAAAAATAACGATTGAAATAAAACAGTAATATCGGGCTGTTTGGAAATTAATTGCTGATTTCAACCTGTATGTTTAAAGTGGCATATCTCAGCTCAGAATAAAATTTATTAATCAAAATAAAAACTATTAGAATCAACACATTTTTGCCAACAAGAAACAAGCATATTTATTTCGGTTGCTTAAAATTCTGGACTTCTGGAGGCGATGAAGTCACCGAAGGCAGTTTCGGCCTCCCCTTGGTTTCTGAAGTGTCTTCCCGCACAGGAAGCTGTTGAGATGCTTGAAGAAGTGCTAGTCGGTGGGTGAGAGGTCTGGTGAGTATGGTGGATGAGGCAGAGTTCCGTAGCTCAGCTCGTTCAACTGCTGCAGCATCGAAAGTGCAGTGTGGCCACACGTTATCGTGGAGAAGGGTTGGACCCTTTCTGTTGACCAGTGCTGGGCACAGCCGTTGAATTTCCTGGTGCATTTTGTTGATTTGCTGGATGTACTTCTCCGCTGTGTGATTGTTTCACCCAGATTCAGGAAGCTGTGATGGATTAAACCAGCAGCAGACCACCCAACAGTCAGCATGACCTTCTTTTGGTGCAGACTGGGCTTTGGGAAGTGTTGCAGAGATTCATTGCGGTCCAACCACTGCACTGATAATCGCCGGTTATTGTAGAGCACCCATTTCTCGTCACATGTCACAGTACGGTCGAGAAACAGGTTGTTCTGGTTGCAAAAAAGAAGTGCCGATGACACTTCAAAATGGCGATTTCTGTGATTCTCATTCAATTCGTGCGGCACCCATTTGTCGAGCTTCTCGACTTTCCAGTCTTCTTCAGATGCTCAGAAGCGGTTGATATGCTTATCCCGAGTTCTTCTGCAAGTTCTCAAGAAGTTGTGCTTGTATCTGCTTCCACCGGAGCCTTCAGTTCATTGTCGTCAATAGCAGGAAGATGTCTGCGACCTTGATCTTCAAGGTCGAAATTGCCACATCGAAATTTTTGGAACCAAAGTCACACTGTCTGTTTGTTAACACTTCCCTGGCCATATACCTCATTGATGTTTCAAGCAGCTTGTGCTGCATTACGTCCAAGTTTGAACTCATAGACCTGTCGCAGTTGCTGTTTTGACATCTGAACTTCAAACCTCCAAAATTTGTCAAAAATGCAGTTTATATTAATTTAATTATACAGTGTGAAAGTTCATAACATGAGCTTTTCAAAAATATATATATAACAGTATGCCAATCGAGAAGGTACTATTCCTGAAACATATACAATGAAAATCACATTACAAAACGGAAGTTAATTTCCAAACAGCCTAATAGCTACCAAGAAGAAAAATTTAACTCTATCCCAGCCAAAACCAGGACACTGAGGACAGAAGTTTCTGAGTTTTTTAGTTAGTGAACTGTAATGAGGTTCTTAGTAGGTAATGCACTTTTTTAAAGAAAACTTTCTCAAATATATGACATGACTTTAAAATTAGAAAACAGCCCTTTAAATAGTAACATATTAAAATACCTTTTAGTCATGTATAGGAGTACTGTATCTCTGGAGTTTCTGTGATAGTACAATTTTTCTTTCTCAGAGTTTTATTAATCATAAAAGAAAAGAAATAGAAGATGATATGTCTGGACCACTTATGGAAAAACATGAACAGAAGATTAGACACTTTGGTGAGTATACTTTTTCCAACATTTCACAGTTCTGTTTGCTCCTTATCGTACAGAATGAATGCTAACAAATGAAAGACCTGGCTAACAGACTGTTCAGTTTCATTTTATCAGGACAGTTAATAATTTCAAAGCAAAATAAGGTGTAAACTGTAAAAGCTTCTTAGTTCCTGTGACCAATAAGAAAATTTTTAAAAAATAAAATAATGCTCAAATGAATTTAAGCCATGAAAACTAAAGTTCTAGCAACTTTTTCTGCTGTTCAGTGGGAGAAGGCAGGGACATTCATGGAAATATAAGTTGTGTGTATAAAAGTGCATGGGATTGTCCATAGTGCTCTCCTTTTAAAAGATGTTTTTCTGAGAGCTTCTAAGCTACAAGGGTAATAGTATTTAAAGGGAAATGTCTGTAAATACCTACAGAGAATATATGTGCATGGAATTGTGTTTCTTAAAATTGTATTTAATTATCCACTAGGTGTCACAAGCTCTCATAATTGGTGAATCCAATTAAGCACAAAGCTGATCTTGTAAAGTAATCTGAAATTTTGATGGTTCTCTGAAGTGCTTTCCATTCTCAGTTACAGGCTGGTTTCAGACTATGATACAGTCTAGCCATATTTGGAATTCCAGAACAATCAAGAGCAGAACTGAGTTGGCGCAGTTCAATTTTTAGTACAAACTTGTTTTTACTAAGTGTTCAGTTTCTAAGGATCTTAAACTGTTTTAATGGGTTTCTAGCCCTGTTAGCCTTAGCAAGCCTTGCAGGTACCAAGTTGTCAGAGTATGCAAGTAGCCGTGATAGGCTCAGGTTCTCTCAAATACCTTAACTGCTAAGCGTAATGATATCGGAATCAGAAGATGTCTCCTCTACTGTGTATTTCAGCAGAAAGAAACAGAGGCTTTCTTGCAGACTTCCTAACTAAGATTTGGGCAAAAATATTTTGTTCTCTAAATTCAGATTAAGCTGTTACAGAAGCAACTTTATTACAGAAGGTCATCAATTTTTTTTTCTTGCCTCCTAAATTCAAAGCTATGTTGTTATTTCAATACAAAATACCTAAGTCCATTATAAAAAGGGACAGTACATTGATGCTTTTGCAAGTCTCATGTTCTGCACTAGCTGCTGCCAAGGAGCGGTGTGGACATCGCCAGTCATATTGCATGAGTCCTGTTTCTGGATCCTGTTCTAGCTTCCAAGCAATAAAGAATTCATGCAGAATGGCTCTCTTGAGAACAGCCAAAAGAAATATTAACCATTGCTTTCTCTTTAGGCATTTGCTTGCTAGAATTAATATCAGCTTAGGTCATTACCACTGAATTATCTTTAGCCCAGTTATAATTATACGTTGATAGACATGTAAAGCTGTACATATGGTACTTCTTGCCAGTAAGGATTTGACTGTCAGTGATACATGACAATTTTAAGAAGCGGTCTGAGTATTGAGTTCTGATTTTTAAACTCAGCTCTTTACATGAAGATCTTCTAGTTAACTTTGCAATATTGATGTGGCTTTGCTTTGAGATCAAGCTGTTCCTGTAATTAAATTCAGATTTCCTAAAAACCTAGCAAATCATGTTTTCGAAGCACTTTAATTTCTGGTAATTGCACATTTTCTTTGCATTCTTATTTGCAAACATCTATTCATTTGTCGGAATCACTGAATGTAAATCTCTGTACATAAACTTCTTAAACTATGCGATGACGTAACTAACAGATACCTGCACAGCTTTGTTAGTATGTATGAGAACTGATGCTAGAGAAGCATTAAAATATAGAAAATTGTGACTGTTAAAATCTACTTCTCGTAACTCCAAAGTCTAATTATACCTTCTGGTAATGCTCATTCAGTGTTGGTTAGATATAGAAATAAAACCCACAAATTTAGCTGCATGCTGTCATTCTGGGTTTAGTGAATTGCAAAGTTGTTATATATACAGGGGTATCAATGTAAGTACTGCATTAGATCATGTATCTGTTTAGAATATCTTAACTATATTTCTCTTATTAGGCATGCTGAGCAGATGGGATGATAGTCAAAGATTTTTGTCTGATTACCCATATCTTGTATGTGAAGAAACATCTAGGTATCTCATGTGGTGGTGTTTTCATCTAGAAGCAGAACAGGTATGAAGATGTTTAAATTGTTTGAAAGCATACAGTTTCCCACTTGCTCTGCAGAAAAGCTGACCAAATTGATTAGCTGTTCAACTGTTCTTCCCACCCTCTATTGAAAAAAAACTATCATGCATTGTCACATATATGTCTAGTTACAGCTAAGTACCAGTCCCCTTGCTTCTCATCTCTTTAGGAATTAGAACAAAAGGAAATTATGCTGAATTTTAGAAATATACTGTTTTGCCAATTATCAGGCCTAGCATAAAGGACACAGCCAGCATAAAGATGAACCAATAACCAAATTGTATTTGATACAAAAGGGTCAGTACATGGGTGAGCACTGGGGGTGCAAACAAGTCAGATTACACATAATCAACATCAATCCCACTGACCCCAACAACGACACCACACAACCAACAATGGGTGGAATAAATGGTGAAATGCAGTCTCCCATAGAAGGGATGGGAGACAACCGAGTCAACAAGCCAAACACATAAGACCAAGGAAGCCACACACTGAATCTCTACACAGCCCACGTTTACAAAGCCAGACCTGACTGGAGCCCAGTCCCAGGGAGGCAGGAGGTCCTTCCCCAACAGGGAACTCTGCACAGGGCATCCACCTCACAGACAGACACTGCCCCTGCCTGCAAGTGGTCCCAGCTTTTATCCCCAAGTGGGACACCTGACCTTTGCTTACTTAATGTGGGACACGTGGGGCTCATTTACCTAATGGCTCTCCCTGCAAGGCCGGCCACACCCTGGAGGGAAGCCTAAAGGCAAATTCACCCCCTCTTTGTGAAGGGCTGTGGGAATCACCCCTATGTCAACCTTAATTTGGAGCTTGAGTTTGAAACCCCAGCTTTCATATACTCACAGGAAATATCTTTAAATTATAACTTTAACTTTTTCAGAAGACAGCTCTGATGGAGCAAGTAGCACACCAAGCAGTTGTAATGCAGTTTATTATAGAAATTGCCAGAAGCTGCAATGTGGATCCAAGAGGCTGTTTTCGTCTTTTCTTCCAAAAAGCCAAAGTAAGTAATGGGTAATGATGGGAGAAAACTCTTAATGCTGTACAAGGGACTAGTGGTTTAGAGAAGGTTTTTTTCCTACCATAAGAGCCTGAATATTTTATTGACTGACAAACTTATGAGAAACTATTTTTTTAGTAATTTTTTTCTAGACAGAGTATTTTGGTGTAATTGCAATTGTGAAAATGAAAGTTTAGTGGATTTTGCTTATCCAAGAGGGGAAAGCTAGACACAGCAGTGGGACAGCAGGGGTGTTACAGACACATAGTAACTAACAACAGCAAACACAGATCAGTTTAAGGAATGATTTTGGCTGATTACACCCGTGTTTTCACAGTGTACCTATGTAGTCACAACTTGTCACAACTTTCCATTTCATCTGCAGTTCACAGCAGAGCCCAAAATAGTGTCCTTTTCTCATTACTGAAATACATCAATCCAGAGCTATGCAGGAGAAATGTTGGAAGACTGAAACTGTGGTGACTGTATTCAGTTACTCAAGACTCAGATGGATCTCAGTATTTCCTAAAGGACTTCAGTTAAAGTGCAAGTCAACTTGTTATAGCACTCTGGTCAAAAGTAAAGCACAACTACCTGTTCTTCTGAGGCTACTGGCTTCTGAGTTGGAGTATTTTCACATGTCCTTAGATAAATCAGTTACTTTACTTCTACATATAAATACTACAGACTGTCTTAAAAAGAAATTTACATGACATTTCATTTTAAATTGAGGAACGTTCTTGAGTTGTTAGAGCTGTTATTCTGCAAAGTGTGTAACATGCTTTACTGTGTAGTTTTTTTCAGCACTGTGTATGCTTACAACTCAAAAGTAAATCTGGCTGAAGTGCTAATATTTCATTTTTCTCTTTGCAGACAGGAGAAGGCTATTTTGAGGCTTTTAAAAATGAACTTGAGTCATTCAAGACGAGAGTGAGAATCTGGTCACAAACCCATGGCTTTCAAACTATGCTACTACAAGATCTCAGTATCAGTCCTGGTCTTGTAGGAGAGCTGATATCTTTTTCACCGGTAGGTTTATTATTTCTAGAAATTAATTTAAAGTAGCATTAGGTCCTGCCTTAAGAAGCTGTACTTTTCTGAAATATAAAGAGCATTATTCCTAGAACTGCTAGTGCTTAGGATATAATGTGCAGTATTATCAATATGCAGGGTATATGTGGGCTTTCTTTTTACTTGATGGTGTTCAGAAAATGTCAACATAAGGTCAAAAGCGTATGTTAGTTCAGTGCCCTTACATTTTCATGCTTAAAAGAAACACTGCATCACAAAATTGCTCAGATGATAAGAGTTGGATTCACAGTCTTTACCACAAGCAGTGAAATGAGCTTTCGGTGTAAAATTACTAATTCTGTTCATGGGATCATTCAGGTAAGTCAAACCTAAGTAAAGTCTTATGCTGTAATAAAAGGAAACTGAGGTTACTTAGGTCTTTTGTTACAGTACTAGTGATGACCGTGTTCTGGAATAAAGAAGCAACTTCAAAAATTAGGTATTGGGGAAAGAGTCACAATTGAAACGACTTATTTGAAATAATTTGATTAAAGTATCTCTCAAGTAAGATACAACAACTGAATTTTAAGTAAACGTGCAGTCAAGTGCTAGAAATACTGAGACCAAATACAAACTATGCCAGCAAATCTAAAGAATTCTTGACATGGTGAGATAATATTGGTTGATGGATTTTTCAGAGCTTATTTCCTTACTATTGCAAATTTGTCTCATCTTAAGATGGACAACAGAGAGTCCAGCTTATGCTAAAATCTGTTTCTCCCCCTTCATGTACACAATTATGGAGAATTAAGCTGTCAGTTTTTCATCTGTTGCAGAGCACAGGTGATCTACAAGATTTCATAAACAGAGATGTCTGCAATTTAAACTCTGTAATACAAAGAGATGAAGAAGAATACAAAATGATGGACACAGTATAGAACTCTTAAAGACTGAGGCCAAGTACTCTTCCTTTTATCTTTTTATTTTGAAAGAAACAAACACTGCTATTTTCTTGACACTTATTTTTCTGGGTGCTGCACTTTATTTTTAGTGTCAGATTTTTGTTGTTGTTGTTTGGTTTTAGGTGGGGAATGAATTTTGAAGGGTGGGTAATTCAGAAAAACTTGTAATATTGTTTGAAAATGTGCTGCTAGGTTTTTGGTTGTCATTGAAGAGCAGGGTTCTCATTTTGCGGAATGTGAAACTGGATGTGTTTTATGCTATTAACCTTGCCTTTGGCAATTTTAGAAATTAAAGTATGGAAAAAATATCTGCACAAATACAATGTTTACAAGAAGTAGTAGATTCTTGGTAGAATCTGCTGTTGTCTTACTGCAGATGTGGACATGTTTTATCAATACTGGAGATCACAACTGTATTTCTGCTACCTTGCTGACATTATAAACTCTTAAATTTGGTTATCACTAATAGCAATAAATCAATATCTGGTATCAGTATTTCAGATCTGAATGAATTAAACACTTGCTTTCTACCTCTACTAAGGGGATTTAAATGTTACATTGTGCTTTCATTAAACATAACTTGGTTTTGTCCTAAAATGTAAGCAACATTGGCTACATATGAGTGCTGGGTTATATGATTTCTGAGAGTCTGACTCTTCTTCACAAAGGTAACTCCAGATTATTATTATTTTTTTAAAACCAAGTCTTGTATGGAAAGAAGCATTTGATGGGGGGACCTTGAGGTACAGAGGTTAGGCCAAGACTTCAGTTTAAACAAAAAGTTTTGTTGCAGTTCCTACAGGGTAAGGTGTCATGTGGAGTTTGAAAGGTATTTCATATGCTACTAAAGTGCATTTCTGACAGTGTCAACTCAAAAAATCAAAGTGGAAAATCATTTAAAGCTTCCTCTTTGAGGAGCTGGAAATCCAAATACTGTTTCTAATCAAGGCCTTCCACAGAACCTCTGCAATGCAAAGTTCTACTGTGCTTGTCTATCTTGCTGCTACTACAGCAGTTCTATCTATAAAAATATATACTGCAGTTGGAAGACTCCAGTGAAGACAGCTCATATCTCAAATAACAGTATCCATACATGCTCTTGGTCCTTTATTGTTCTGATTGTTTGTAAGGCCTGGAAGGTTTCTAGATTTCAGTAGTCTGATGAACAGACTACTGCCTACCTGCAGTAGCTAATTCAGGCAAATGCTGTGCTGAGATCCAGTAATTTTAAGCTTTGGCTATAGCAGAGATAGGAAAAAGTTAAGTCAGCGTATTGTATACATGACATTTTTCGTACAAATGCAGTAGCAAAAGTAGGAGCTCCCAGATCCACTGCCAGAAGTATCAGGCTGTTCGGAAATTAATTTCCGTTTTGTAATGTGATTTTCATTGTATGTTTCAGGAATAGTACCTTCTCGACTGGCATACTGTTATATATTTTTTAAAAGATCATGTTATGAACTTTCACACTGTATAATTAAATTATAATATAAACTGCATTTTTGACAAATTTTGGAGGTTTGAAGTTCAAATGTCAAAACAGCAACTGTGACAGATCTACGCGTTCAAACTCGGACGTAATGCAGCACAAGCTGCTTGAAACATCAATGAGGTATATGGCCAGGGAAGTGTTAACAAACAGACAGTGCGACTTTGGTTCCAAAAATTTTGACGTGGCAATTTCGACTTTGAAGATCAAGAACGTCGCGGACATCCTCCTGCTATTGACGACAATGAACTGAAGGCTCCGGTGGAAGCAGATACACGCACAACTTCTTGAGATCTTGCAGCAGAACTCGGGGTAAGCATATCAACAGTTTCTGAGCATCTGAAGAAGACTGGAAAGTCGAGAAGCTCGACAAATGGGTGCTGCACGAATTGAATGAGAATCACAGAAATCGCCATTTTGAAGTGTCATCGGCACTTCTTTTTTTGCAACCAGAACAACCTGTTTCTCGACCGTACTGTGACATGTGACGAGAAATGGATGCTCTACAATAACCAGTGATGATAAGCGTAGTGGTTGGACTGCAGTGAAGCTCCGCAACATTTCCCAAAGCCCAATCTGCACCAAAAGAAGGTCATGCTGACTGTTGGGTGGTCTGCTGCTGGTTTAATCCATCACAGCTTCCTGAATCTGGGTGAAACAATCACACAGCGGAGAAGTACATCCAGCAAATCAACAAAATGCACCAGGAAATTCAACGGCTGTGCCCAGCACTGGTCAACAGAAAGGGTCCAACCCTTTTCCACGATAACATGTGGCCACACTGCACTTTCGACGCTGCAGCAGTTGAACGAGCTGAGCTACGGAACTCTGCCTCATCCACCATACTCACCAGACCTCTCGCCCACTGACTAGCACTTCTTCAAGCATCTCAACAGCTTCCTGTGCGGGAAGACACTTCAGAAACCAAGGGGAGGCCGAAACTGCCTTTGATGACTTCATCGCCTCCAGAAGTCCAGAATTTTAAGCAACCAGAATAAATATGCTTGTTTCTCATTGGCAAATGGTTTTTATTTTGATTAATAAATTTTATTCTGAGCTGAGATATGCCACTTCAAACATACAGGTTGAAATCAGCAATTAATTTATGAACAGCCTAATAACTTTTTGCGTGCCTTGTGTTCTCTAGCAATTCTTTTGCAGACAGACTGAGAATAAAGGAGCAAGCAGCAGCTCTGTCCCAGATGCAAATTAGAGATAACCAGTTTCAAGAACTTTAGGTTGATTTGTAACTAAACATTATATACAAGGGTAGTAAGGGCAGCATAGCACAGTGACTTGCAACTGCTGTCATTAACAGAGCCACATTGATCTAGCAACCTTTGATATACTGGAAATTACTTTTAAAGTTCCTAAGGGACTAAAATTGGATGGTGTGGGAATAAGTGTCAAATCATAAGGAGATTCCCTCACTGTTCTCCTTCCAGCTAACTAAAACTTGCGTAGGCTGGCAAAAAAAAGCATAGCTGCTTTTTGTTGAAATCAAAATTCATAAATAGAAGTAAGCAGCACAGCAGGGTTTCTGACTTATGTGGTAGCTACTGTTTTCTAACCATGACTTTAAGGAAGTGCATCTCTAAACTCAGTCTACAGCCTCAATATAGACACTTCTGAAGATGAATGTACAGATGGTCACCCTTTTGGCAAGCTTTCTTTAAAATGTAAAGTTGCTTGTAATGATAGCTGCTGCCCATATTGTTCACTTATAATAATGTGAAAGCTTTACAAATTCTACAATGACTGTCTTCTTTAGACTCAAATGTGTCTGAATATTGGTAAAGCTAAAACCAGATGTATAAATGTAGTCCAAGGTACAGCACCAGAACAGCTCTGTAGTTGCTTACAGTCTGGGACCCACATTAATAGGACACAGCTACTTGAGATGTTGCTTAGACAGAGTTGGTCATTCCTCATGTTTTGCTGAGTCTTCCTGAAACTCTCAATCTGCCGATCATAAAAGGGCTAGGAGAGTTCACTGAAAAACAGCAATGTCTGCATTACCTTGACTGTTAAAATGTGTGGCCTGTGGAGGTTTGTAATTCCAATTATCTAGTGAATAAATACTGAATAATATGAAATCTAGTCCAATTGCTACAATAAAACTTGCTATAGTAGTATGACAAAATTAATAATTTGACCACTGGGTATCTTGGTACTGGCATCAATAAGCAGTAGGTTTTTTTCAAAGATAGCAAAAGACACATTTCACTAGTGAAAATCATCTAGCTATACATTTACTAGGTTACACTTAACCTGTCAGTATCTGCTGTCTTTTTACTCAAAGTATTATACAGCTGCAGATATAGAGAGGCTTTACCAAATGTGTTACACATAATTTTAACTTGGTTTCTCATCCCTGCAAAATCGCTGCTCTCAGGGCAGAATTATAAACATAGTAATAAGGCCAATCATCCAAGCAAGCGTTAAGAGTAATTTAAGCCCAGCAAGATCACCTGTGCAAGCAAAGCTAAAAGGTGGTGACTATGCTCTATGAGATCAACCTGTATGTGTGCTAATCCTGGTCTGAAATGGCTTTTTGCAGCATGGTGGTCATGGTTCCCCACAGCTTCTGGCTGGCCCCAACTCATCACACATTGAAGAAACATGTTTTCATGTCCTTATGGTTGCTTCGCACTACATTTCATGAGTAAATAATCAATGTGCTTTGCAATTGTATTCTGAAGTGTGTTCCCTTCACCAGTCATTATTTGCAAATATTTTCTAAATAAGAGACAAGAACAGCTGCTTTTGTTAGTTACTATATTATAAAAATTAGGTATATTTAATATTAAAAATGTTACAGCATTGAAATGAGAACCACAGGCAACAAACTTTTAACTTATATTATGTTAAGGACATTAGACTTTAATTATCGATCAGTCTGGTAGACTACTTAGAGAAATCCTTGATTGCTGAATCTCATGTAATCAGGTGTGAACTGTGAAAGATGAGCAGAAGTTAGACCTATTTTCACCTGGGAATGGCAGCATCTTTCTGACTCACATCTGGCAACTTGGTGTGGAGGAAAGCATAGATATGTGGCCAGATCTGATTGGTTTCTGTTCCAGAGAAAGATTTCAATAACCCTTTTTCCCTAAGGAATAAAAAGAAGAAAGCATCACAAAAGTCAGATTGCTTAATTGTTCTAAGATCTCCACATAACTTTTAAGATTGCCCTAGCAGGAGTGTGCAAATAGGCATTGTGATTTAACATCAATAACAACTCTAACACTGGGAATGCAGGCTAGACATGCACTACCCTTCCTCAAGCAGTGAGCTATTGGCCACATCAGTTCATAAAACTGACAGCAGTCTACAAAAGACTTCAAGTACTTCTTAATAACGAACTATGAAGGGTAAAAATAAGAATGAGCAATGCAGTCATATAGCCCATGTATACAGCACTCATCCAACAACTGTGACCAACCCAGTTGTTGTCTAGTTTTATGTTATTATCAGTAATAATAATAGCTTAGGCTTGTCTTACTGTGGTGATCTGAGGCATTTTCACTTCAGAAAGCTGCCTTAGAAGAGCCACTCTTAAATCCTCGTTAACAGTTTTTCTATTTGTCTGTCACTTCTTGACCCCTTGCCCTTGGTAGGAGGGCTTCAACTATACATCCAGAATAGAAAGTACTGTTAAATCTTAAAAAAAACAAACTCTTATCTTACTAACCAGAGCTATGTTGCTCAGAACAGTACTATAATATACTGAATAATGCATAGCACTTTGTAAAGCTAAATATAGCTGCAGTGAAAGGCCCTTTTGCTCAGCAGGCTCCTGAAGAGGCTTCATGCAACAGTGGAAAACACTCACTTTACCTTAAGATTTCTGAGTTAATGAAAGATACACTGCGACTCATACTGCAACAGTGAATGTGGTATCTCTGTAACTGAAGAGATCTGTTCCTCACTATGCTAATGTGGAAGAAGCTTTTAGAATGTGGAAGAACAGATATTACTACTTACCGATAATATTCTAGAACAGGTCTTGTTTGTGCATCGTAAGCCTGCAGCCTCTTGGTAACAGTCTCTGGCTTATCATCATCACGCTGAACAAGTGGCTCTCCAGTAATATCATCAATGCCCTAATCATGGTTGAAAGCACACAATTGTGTATATTTCTTATTTTTGTTTATTATGTTTTATGTAATTTTCTATTTAAATTATGATCAGTTTCCAGATAGCCAAGGAGTGGGTTTCTGCTTATAAAGAGAAAAGCTACTGCCAGTATCTTATCTGGAATATAAAATGTTGACTTTCCAGTAAAACAGTCCATCAGTTCAAAACATTTTATTGGTATTGGCAATGAACATCAGGTCATAGTAATGACTTATTTGTCCTCTGGAACATTCATTGGATATGGGAAATATGTAGACAAAACTTTCACATATGAGGGAAAACAGTATTGTTGGTAGTATGTTCCTGCGTAACAGGAAACAAGTAAGAGACCAACTGGACATTTGTTTGACAAGTAATAAAATGGGGAAGGGAGTTAATGGCCCTTTGATTTCAAGTCACAAAACAGAAGAGTTATCATTTAGCAACAGCTGTACAAAAAATGGCATAAAAGACAGCTGAAGTTTTTCTAGGATTCAGTAAAAAGAGGTAGGGACCTAAAGTGTGAACTGTGACAGCTCCAACTTTACTGCACATTTCACCTCCAATTTATTGAGGTGCTTTAAGTGATTATGGATGCTTTTAAACCTTGAAACCAGCAAAGGCTGAAGACATTACCACTGGCATATCTTATGAAGCACTAGCTAGTGGCATAAAAGTTGGCTCCTCCTTTGGGGCACTGAACCAATGTGCATCTGATAGAATATGTAAGAGATTCTTTGCTCCTTTGTATGTATTAAATAAATTCAAGAATTTTTATTTTCTCTAAAGACAAGTTTAATCTGACATTTGGAGTGGAAACAGGAGTGTTTTCCTTTCCTGCTTGCATTCTGGCAGTCAGTTTCAGAGAATCAATAACCGTCAGTGTTCAGTAAGCTTCTCTGTTCATGGTGTTAAAAAAAAAAACAAACCTGTTCCCATCTGTATCATATTAGAGATGGATTTATATGGTCAAAATTACCTTGTTTAAAACACTCAAATGTTTCTTTCTACCATCTGTGCAGGCAGCCATACTAGTGCCTTCATTGTACCTATCATATACTGAGCCTTCAGCCTTGCATTCACTCTGAAGCCATGATCTTTTGGTTTTGTTGATTAAGTAAACATTTTGCAGGTCTATTAGATAAGAGATAACTATTTTAGCTGTTCAGCTCCATTCCATAGTTACACTTCAATATTGCAGTCTGCTATGTTGTGATACGCCTGCTAATGAGTGGAAGGTACAGTGGAGTATTCCTAATAACAGAGCTGTTGCAGCTGAGGCCCACTCTTTGGCAGGTCTGGTAATTCTCTGTTGCAGCTTGCCTATGCTCTTCTGCAATTAAAAATAACCATGACTTAAAACACTTCCAGTGCTTACCTGATATTTCAGCTGGCCTCTTTTCCTGCAACACTGAAATCCAAAAACTGCAAGGCTTGCTATGCTTCTGATGTAACTTAGTAGAGTTTCCAGGTGAAATGCGATGCCACAACATGCAAGTTATTTAGAGTTAACAATAAAATACAGCTTAGGCTGAGTTGCACTACGGCTAATCAGAGTTCCTCAAAAATAAAGGTAAGGTACAATCATTATCTTCAAGTTTAGTACTCCGCTTTAGGCTATCTCAAGCCATTACCTCTTTGATTTGTTGAAAAGCTTCCCTGATAGGCAAGTTTCTACATCTAATTTTGTGATACAACTGTTTCCTTGGAATCCTGGTTAAATACAAACACAGGGAAAACATTAAGTGGATTCATCTGACTGATGGTTTGGTGTGCTTGCTAGATGCAAAGAATGAGTCCTCTGGAGGAAGAAACTACATTTTGGACTGTACAGGCTGAAAACTTGCAGAACAGGCTAAGAACACGCCCAACTCCTATGCCAGTGTGCAAAACAGTATTCCAGATCACTCAACAGCTTTATCAAGAGCTCACAAAATACCATGGTGTTTCATTCTTCAGTGGACAAACACACTGTCCATCAGCTTGAGCTTCTACCAGGTCACTAACATAGCCTCAGAGGCAGTTTTGCCAAAAAGCTTCTGTGCTCCTAATAGATGAAATGGGCCTTTTTCTTCTGAGCTACTGTGTTTTGCAACAACATACACAAACAGTATTTTACTGCAATTGCCAAATGCAGTGCAATATTTATTTAGTGCCAACACCAACATGTATTGCTTACCTGCACTCTCGGAGGACTGAATTCAAGATTGTAGACCCTGCCACTAGCAGGGTGGATCCAACGTGATGTAAGCCGACATTTTATGGTCTCAAATGGCACATTGAGGTCAATCACAGTGTCTATTTGACATTCTTTATCCAGGGCTTCTGCCTGAGCAACTGTTCTGGGGAAACCTTTTTAAAGGAAACAATTCCATAAAAATCCAAAGGCAGAGTTATAGCAAAAATTACCTGGATTCAGTCATTAGAGAAAATAATTCAGACAGAAAAAAAGCATCATCATACTTTAGAGGTTGAAGAGACATCAGACTTTCCAAGTATTTTTCACACTATCATGGCACTTTTAACTTGTTAAATGCCTCCTAGCTTCCATTTTCTCACTTCATTTAATCATCTTCCCAAAAGTATAAGAAATAAATGCAAAAAGACCCCATACTCATATGTAATACATACCACTACACTGTATACACATTTTGAATAATAAAAGCTACAAGCAGTTCACTTGTCTGTAACAACCTAGAAGTATTTGTGACAACTCTTATTTCTGCAGTTGTCTTAAGTGTGGCTTAAGCAGATGACCATCACAAACCTAAGACAAATATAACTACCAGATGCAGTTTAGGATAAATTTTTTCTAAAGCTACTCTTTTATGTAGAGTTCTGGAAAGTCTAATGTATCAAACTATCCTCAAGAATAGTGAGAACATTGGGGGAACACTCAGGATGAACAGGAATCTGTCTCTTCACATAAAAGACACTGCATTTTGCCCCATGAACTCTATGGCTCTAGTAGCATGCCTTCAAAGGCACATGTTACAACTGGAGAAATCTAGTGGAACTTAAGAAGGGGGGCATGGGGAGAGCAGAAAACAAGAAAACCAAGGTCTCCTCAAAGAATTTAAAAGCTGACCACAAGAAGCAGTCAAAGCTAATGCAGAACATGCACCATAGATTCACCCCTAAAGCTCTTGCACAGTCTCATGTTCTTCAGTAGCTTCTAATTTTCATCATACTATACAAGTAAACTTCTTCATTAAGGCAAGTACTGATAGGTAAAAACTTAAGAAACTCTTCTTTGCATAACATTGGTTGATGAGTCCATTGCCTGAGTAAGGAACCAGCCAAGAAATAACTAGCCTTAAAACAGGAGGGAAAAAAAAAAAAAAAAGCATGTTCTTAAGTCTACTGTGTCTTGTCTAACAGATCACAAAAGAAGAGTTAACTCAGCCCAAGCTCTTGCTTGTGCATTGTCTGATGAACCTTGTTTGCATCAGTCATCAACTGCCTTCACCTTTTTTCTAGTTGGTATTATCTCATGGAAGTGCTTCTAAATGTTAAGAGCAGAGGGAGACTCTGGACTCCAGCACTGCTGTGAGCCAACTCCAGCACTTGTTACTCCTTACTGTTGACAAGCTAGTCAGCCACCACACATCTTAGTTATGCAGCTGGAAAATGAGTTTGCTTTGGGACTTAGTAATGAGAAACTTCCACAAATTAAAGTGCCTTTACAAAAGCATTTAATTGAAACTGAACCCATGTTTGCTGTATACAGTGTTTTTCTCAATACAGAAAAAAAATAAATCTACAACATGTGATGAAGAATCCAGAAACACAAAGTGTCCTAATTATACAGCACATAAATCCAAGCAGATCATACACATACACAACTCAGACTGCTACATCTGCTATGACTGTAGAAGCCACCAATCTGTCTTAAGACAGTGAAAACGGGTATTTGGCTATGTGAGCATACAAGCAGCTCAGCAATTCTATTTCATTCGACCAAGCTGAATTCAGCTATTTGTTCTGAGTTGCAGTTACCAAACTAAAGACTTTCTGGTTTAAATATATTTAAACAGAACAGTGTTGTTCCTACAGAGCCAATTATGCCAGAGCTATCCCTAGTGTAATTCACTGAGTCTCACTGCAAATGCTGACGCAGACAAAATTTCTGCTCCAAAAGTTTAAAGGCAGCAGCATGTTAATGTACAGCACAAACTGATTTATTATCTTACAGTCCTCCTTCCACCATCCTGTTAATAGTTGCCAGTGTGCGCAGCTATACTGCTACACATCCAGATCCACAAGGCTGGAACTGTGTGTATACAGGATCTGGAACTAAAGAAAAAAGAAAATCTGCAGCTCTTTCCTTTATTGATTAGGTTTCATGGTACTGTTCACTTTGTGAATTAAGTCTCTGTATTCACAAAGGAGGAACACAACTAACTAAAGCCACCAGAACAGGTCACTATACTAGAAGTAATTATCATGTGGGACAGAGCACTGTGGATTTTTCACTTCCTCTAAATAAAAAGCTACACCAACAACATTTTAGTTTTCTCTATTGAGACAGGTTGTGACTAGAATCTGAAAACACACATCCAGCCCAGACGCTATCTTTGCGCTGTGCATCCAACTGTACTCCCATGGGCTGGGGTAAGAAGCCATTCAGTTCATGAAGACATCAGCAAATGCATTTTCTCTCTACCATGAATGGTGAAAGCAATGAGCTTACACTGCAGAACTGCAGAACAATTCACTCTAGGGAACAGAACCAAAGAGCAAATGAAAGAGACTTTTTAAAGCACTTAAGCAGTAGGTTTGACAGTGATATATTACCCACTGCACTGCTGCAGTACTTGCTTTCCATACTTACCTTGTTGCTGCATCACATACCTACCTTTCTAAATAATTTCTCAGCTCCATTCTTCAAAAGTGTTCTATTTCCCAAGAAAAGGCTTTATGAAAAGAAACTTCTCAATGCATATTTTAAAAGGAAAATAAAGTGTACAAATCACTAGTTGCCAGTTTTGAAATTTTACTGTGGTGTTGAACTACCCTTTTCAACGTGAATTAAGCATCCCTGTAACAGTCTGAAGGCAGGATGCACCCAAAGCATTTTACAGCCAAAGAAACTGGGACAGACTAGCTGCTGAAGGTTGGCAACAGTACTGACCAGTTACTACAACTCGAGGATGGCTACTGGAGTGTAGCTAACAGCAAGTGACCAAAGCACTCCAAGACTTCCAGTGCAGGTTTTCTCTCCTTATATAGTGATATTCAATACACTAACTTACCATCCAATAGCCAGTTGTACCGATCTAGACCTTTTAGCTCATTCAGCATTAGTCGTGTCATGATATCATCTGGAATAAGCCACCCTTGATCAATGTAGGACTTGGCAAGGATTCCAACTTCTGCAGAAGTAAGAGAAGTTGCATTACATTATCTCTGATAATGCGAAAAAAGAGCCACAAGTCTGCACAAAATTTGTTCTAACCAGGATGGCACAGAAAGTAAAGTTGTAAAGAAGACGGTATGCTTGCTGAAATTAAAAATCAGATGATCAGTTAGGATCTGATTATGCAAAAATGTATTAGATTTATTTGATTGGACTGTAGTTCCATGGATAGCAACAGGGCATTCAGCACACCTTTATCCCACACCCTCCAAATACTTTTACTAGTAAGTATTCAAAATACTAGGTTTCAAAAACAAAGATCAGGAGACACCACCAGGTAGAAGAGTCTTCAAAACAAGAAATGGAAAGGATACAAGTTCATTAAGACACTGGCCCTCATATTTCCTGTCAAGTAAGTTATTTTCTCAGTTCAGTGGCTAGTTATTAACTTATGACTCCACCAGGAAGAGACGCCTTTGGTATTTAAGAGAGCAGTATGCAGGGGGACACGCTTGCCAGATACGTATTTTTATGATTACTAGAGTTACCAGAGGATGTTTATAGATGTTGTAAACTATTTATGGGAGCGTGCATACACTAGTATTTTCCCATGGAACTGACTAACTTTTAATACTAGTCATTTAGCCCTCTGGCTTGCCAAAATGCCATCACAGTTCCGGATGTCACACCACCCTCCTACATGACAGGCAAGCAGCACATTGTAGTTGACCCAAATCAGGCGTATACCCAGAAAGAAATGAATTTGTCTGGGTTGTGTCCTAGGCACAAAGTCTCAGTGGCCTTCATTTACAAAACAATTACCCAATTATGTAAATCACCCAGAATAGCTGCTAGATTGGTTTTATCATGGATCTGCAGAAGCCAGAGCAGCCAATTCAGATCTAGTTACAGTAAACTAAGTAGAAGAGAAAACGGGATGGACTGACATACCAACACAAGATGTAACCACTTTCAGCAGAAAGCAATTAAGAACGCTAGTCCCATCACTTGATGCAGTACTGGAACATGCAATAGTACAGAGGTCATTCTTTAAACAAGACAACTGAAAAACAATAGTTGCCCTCAAGTAATGCAGACAGTAGCTTTGGCACTGGGAAAAAAAAAAAGTAATAAAGGGACAATTTCCTGTTAGTGGGTGTTCACATCTATAGTCAGGCTTTGAAAAGTTTGAAGATCATTTAGAAACAGGCACTATGCACTTCAGTCAGACTTCTTATAATCCTCACAATGTGGAAAAGAGTCAGACTCTGTTGCTTGAGTCCTCCAGCATATCACAAACTAGAAAGAAGGTGACAGTATGTCTGGGTACAAAGTGTCTATTCTTTTCCCTACCTCCTTTCCTCAACGTCAGCAAGTCATGCCTCTTATTTATTCTAGCGCAGTTTCAACTATGTACCTGGCAAAAGTAGGCTGGGAGGAGGAATAAATTACATCAAGATAGTTCAATGCATACTTGATGCTTGATCTGTTACTTATTTACCCTGCACCATTGCTCTAGCCACAATGATCTAATATGCTCATGGCAAGGTTGATAACAGAACTGTACCAACACACTGGAAAGACAGATGAGCTTTTGGGCCCAGAGAGGTTTAGAGTATGGCAAGCTGTAAGGTTCTATTATTAGACCAGCAGAGCTGGAAACATGCTGCCTCTCTCTACAGACCTGGGGTCGTTTAGAAGAAATAGGCACAAGCTGTACCCATATAGTTATATGTTTGTATACTAGACCATAGCTGGGTTAGCTTTTTGTTCTGTTGTTGGGGGTGGGATTTTGTGAGGTCTTGTTGGTTTTCTTTTGTTTTCTTTTTTCCAGCTTGGGTCTGAAATCACTACAGGCATGGCAATCTTTGGAATTAACGGCAAGACAGGTCTCTTTCCTGTCTAGGTGATACAGGTACCCATGTTTCATGGTTTTGCAGAAGAATGGCATGTCCTAACTACATTACAGCAAACAACCTCTAGCCAGATTCACACAGGTTGCTTAGCACTAGAGAGGTGGCTGGAGACTCTACACTCTCCAAAGCAGCAGAACATGGTAAGTACAAATGGGTAAGGACACTTGTATGTTCAACAGGAATTTTCAACAGACAAAGTCCATTTTCACAAGACACCCCAATGACAAAAATGCCACCTTAAAACACTTGGAAAATTTAAATAGAATTGGCAATAGTTATAACTGCCCAACTTAGACTAACACTGTTCCCAAAGATCTGGGAATTGCAGGACTCTATTATAATCAAAACTCAAACTATTTGCCTTGACTAAACTTAAAGCTCTCCAAGTTCCTCTCCTTCCTTCAGTGTACGTATTCCTGCTACTTCATCTCAATCCTTTGTGACCTGTTGCAGAAATGGTGTCCTTTCACTAAAATTAAAACAGAGCTTCACCTGGGTTAATTAGTGAATGAAAAACTCTGTAGCAGATTCCTCTAAGTTCTACGATAGTTAATTCTGAGCAAACTTCATCATCTCTTACACCCTCCACTACCTTCTCTCCTCATGTTTAGGGTTTTAATGTGCCTGCTACACTTTCACTTCACATCTTGGTTCTCCTTCACATTCTTTCATCCGTCCAACCCACCTAGAACACTGCCAGATCAGTTTTCTTTCCACTACTTCATGGCTCCCCCCTCAAACCAAACAATGGGATACTTCCACTTGCAATTTCCTCCGCCTGCACACCCTTCAACTTGATTCTGGTGCTCTTTGATCTTGCTTCCAGATTTCAAGATACTGAAAGAGCACAAAACCTAAAGTATTTAGTAAATAAGACATTTCCTTCATCTTCTGGGACTCCTTCCTTCTTCACTAGGCCTTACTTACACCAAAAGTTAACAGCAACAATTCTGGGTTTGTGACCTTCTGTAAACAAAAACTTACACTTGCGCAACCAAACAGACAGAAAAAACATGAATGTGAACAGATATGCCTGCATAGGTGGTGCTCATAGCTAATGTTTAACTTGTAGGTATCAACTGTAGTAAAGTCAGTCAACTAAGCTAGTCATTATTCTTACAGAGCAAACAGATTTTGTGTGAAAAGAGATGTGGAAATCAGATCACAATTGATTTCATAAAACAGATAATTTTTCACCCTCAAACATGCTTATAAGCATCCAAAACCAAGACAGCCAGTTACCTAACCATAACAGTGCAGTGATACCAAGGGAATGTAGCCCTTTGTAGTTTCAAAGTGCTGGAAATAACAATACTCTTATTTCCTCACATGCAACCTTGAAATGGTTCTGACAAGGTTTTTGGCCCCACCATGAAGAAAAGCAGATGCTGAAGTAAGGAGGGGAAATTTCATCCTTGCAAAAATGCACAGGAGAGGGGGGTTGTGGCATCTCCACAGAGAGCCAGAGGTCAAGCTAGAACTACACAGTAAGTATAATTCACATCATTACCCAATACAAACAACTCTGTATGCAAACACAGACCCTGCTGAAACCTAAGCATAATATGAACTTGTTGTAAGACAACAATTTAAAAAGCACAAGGTAGTCAGTCTGAAAACTCTGCCCATTGTTTTTGGAAAGGAACCACTACTGTTATGCCTGCCAGTTCAGGACAAGGCCTTCTAATTTTGGAAAAGCTGGTAATTCTAGGTGCCTCTGCTTCTAGTCACCTAGAGATCTGAAAAGTCCAACTACCCACATTGTCTCCTCTTGCCCCGTTAAAAACATTAATATTTTTCTCTTTCAAGGTGTTTCAGCTGGAAGACTATCAGAAACGCCTACAAAAAATGCTGAGTGCCTACGAAAACCACGAAGACGAGGAAACAGGTGTTATAAAAGAAGGAAACGGGTCTAACCCCCAGATATGCCCCGCTCACGCTTACGAAGAGGATGCCAAGTGAAGGCTTTTAGAGGATCCCCGGCTGAAGCCTTCAGGCCCACTGCGGTGGCCTCTGGCCTCCAGGAAGAGCTGCGTGAGGACGCCCAACCTCGCGGGGGGCACACAGAGGTGGGACCGGAGAGCCGAAAGCCCCCTCCAAGAAGCGCCCCGGGCCCTCCGGACGGGGAGCGGCGAAAGAATG